GAAAGAGTCCAGATGTCCACTGACAGGTGAATGGATAAAGAAGATGTGATAGGGTGCCTGGGTGGCTCAGTCGTTAAGTGTCTGCCTTCGGCTCAGGTCATGATCCCAGGGTCCTGGGATCAAGTCCCACATCGAGCTTCCTGCTCAGTGGGAAGCCTGCTTTTCCCTCTCCCACTCCCCCTGCTTGTGTTCCCGCTCTCGCTGTCTCTCTCTGTGTCAAATAAATAAATAAAATCTTTAAAAAAAAAAAAAAAAGAAGATGTGATATATATATATATATATATATATATATATATCACTACCTCTGAAACTAATAATACATTATATGTTAATTAATTGAATTTAAATAAATTTTTAAAATCATACAGTGTAATATTGGTCTGAGGGGTAGAATTCAGTTATATACAACACCCAGTGCTCATGATAACAAGTGCCCTACTGAATACCCATCACTCATCTAGCCCATCCCCCACCCGCCTCCCTCCATCAACCCTCAATTTGTTCTCTATCCTTAAGAGTCTCTTATGGTCTCTCTCTCTCTCCCTCTCTCTCTCTTAATGAAGTGACTTTTGGAACTAAGGATGGAGGCTGGTTGCCTGGGGAGCCAACCTGAGTAGAAGTTAGAACTTCCATTCTCACCTGCTGATTTCTGGGGAGGAGAGAGGGGCTGGAGGTTGAATCAATCATCAAAGACCAGTGACTTGCCTGTGTAACAAAGCCTCCATAAAACCCCCCAAAAAAGGCCAGGATCCGAAGAGCTTCCAGGTTGGTGAATCAGAATGCTTCCATGTGCCATCATGCTGGGCCCAAATTCCGAAGGACAGAGGGTCATCCTGTCCTATGGATCTCTTCACCTGGCTGTTCATTCATATTTATGTCCTTTGTAATAAACTGCTAATCTAACGAGTACACTAGTGTCCTACGTCCCACGAGCTACTCTAGCAAAATAATCGGACCCATAGAGGGGGTCAGATGTACAGGTGACACCCCGGACCTGAGATGGTACCTGGAGTGGACGACTGAGCCTTTAACCTGTGGGATCTGACAGTATCTCCGGACAGATAGTTCCAGAATTGAGCTGAGCTGTAGGACACCCAGCTGGTGTCCCAGAGTTGCTTGGTGGTGTGGGGAAAGAACTCACACATTGCAATTGTCCCCAGAATTGGAACAACGAAATGCATCTCACATTAAAACTTCAGTGAACAAGATCTGTCCATCTGTAATGATACAAGGGGCCACTTCACGTATTTCATCTTGAGAAGTCATTATTAGGAATATCAATTACCACATTTCATTGATGGGGGAAGAGTCACTCAATATTCAGTCCTTGTTGATGGGATATCAGGTAAACAGCCTCTTCTTAGGCAAAGACATGGGTTCGACGCAAATTCAGTCACTTTTGAACACTTGAACCATAGCAAGAGGGTCACTGAATTTTCCCTCCCCCAAGAGTCAGTTCCTGTGGGCCCAAAGAGACCTTTTTATTTGGTACTTAGCCTGGCTTTTACACAAGGGACTAAAATGTTATATTATTTGGGCCAGATCCATCAAAACTAATGAGGCCTCTGAACTTTATGGCTCTTCTTCTCCATCATAGACTAGTATCGGTGACCTGTGAGTTCTCCCCTTCTGAGAGCTGCCCGGGGGCTCAGCCACGTAACTCGGGCATAACTGCCTCCCGGTCCCAAAACCAGCCCTGCCTTTCTGTGCAGATGGCCATGCTGAGAATCGATTCATCAGAAGGCTCCAAAGAGCTCAATACAATTAAGAATATGCAATCTGGAAAAGCCCCAAGCCCAGACAATGCACCCAGCGCTCTCTGTTCTGGCCTTCCAAAAGTAACTGGCTCAGCCCTGTCCCTCCAGTGGTACGAGGAGTGACCTAGAAGGAGAGGGACAAGCAGGCTCCTGTTCAGTACTCAGTGGCCATTTTGAAATTGCAGAAGGAGAGCAGATGGAGAAGTAACCTCAAATGAATATTCATAAGAAGAAAATCAATTATCCACCTTATGTGCCACCTGCCCTCTCAACCCAACTTAGCGCACAGCTGTGAGAGGCAGGGGGGCATATATGCAAATCACAGGCTCCACCTCGAAGGCATTCACAGAGTCCAAGGGTCCAATGCCAAACCTGGAATTTTGGCACATCTGACCTGAAAAGATGGAATATGCTGAGTTTGTGACCTTTAAAACAGGAACCAAAGCCATAGAAAGATGGCAGGGTATAATGGAAAGAACAAAGCTTTCCAAGTCAGACTAGCCTGGGCTCAAATCCCAGCGTTGACCCTTCTTAACTCCTGCCCTTCCGTTCTGACTCTACTGGACAGATTACCCAGACTCAGCCTCCCTGTCCTCACCTGCACAACAGGGAGAGACACCAACTCGTGTCGAGGGTGGCGAGACAGGGCAGAGGGACCTTGTGAGATGACAGATGCAAAGCACCCATGCGTGGCAGGACTGAGTAACTCATAGGTCCTCCTGCCCCAAGGACACCATGACATAGGAGATAGACTGGCTCCACAAACATCAAAACCATGAAAACAGATTGTCTAGTGATGGATGAAGATGTGTGATCCCTAGAAGTTCACGACTCCAACATAGGACTTTTTAGGGACCCAATACCTATTTAAAGGATTTGATATGAATATAAAATTCTTGACTATTTTCAGTTGTTATTTTAAATAACATAGCTCCCTTGCATAGATCCTTTATTCCTGCATCCAGAGCTATTATAAGGACAAGGCCACCGGGGTTTACCCAGCATTAAAAAATGTAAAGGACCTCAAAATCATAAACCATGCTTTCAAAAGCATTTTACAAAGTAGCAGAAATGAAGGGAACCAGAGAGCCGAGGTCAAGGGCAGGGACCCCCATTTGCCCCAGGGCCCCTTTCTGAGGTCAGGGTCTACAGCCCCACACTCGCACCCCTGCCTCTGCCCACTCTCCGAGTGGGAGGCAAAGAATGGCCTCCATCAGCCCCAAGCAGCTGTTCCCTGGCAATACCCTATTCCTAACTCTCTCATGAAGCCATCACAAAGCCGACTCAGGCTTCCTACAATGAAAACTCCAGCTTTCAATATAATTCCCTTATTGTGGAAAGTGGGAGGTGGGGGGTGGCAGTTAAAAGAGGGTCTTATGAAGACAATTTCTATTCTTGAGTGCTTATGACTTGCCTCTAGGCTGGTTTTTTTTTTCCTTGTTTTTTGTTTTCCCAGTTTGCTGATCTGAGTGTGTGTTTGAAAAAAGCAGAAGATGGAAGGAAGAAGAGAAAGGATTTGTGTGATTGATCACCCCACCAGATAAACACCCTGACCTCGTGATTCAGTAATGCCAAGAGAGAACTGAATCACTCTAATTCAGGACTACGGAGCAGCTTCCCTTCCCAAACCATAATAGGAAGCGAGTCATTGGAGGCACCTGGGTCCCTTCCTGCCTCTTAGACAGCCAGGTGGCCACTGCCTTGCTCCCTCTCCAGGTGGGAACAGATCGCCGACAACCCAGAGCCTTCCATCACCTAGAATTCTGCCAGGACCTCAGAATGTCTCACCCTCTTCGCAGGAAGTGGGACAAAGCCTAACTCAGTGTCCCACATAGGCATCACCCTCTCCCAGCTTGTGCGTGATAGTCACATACCCCCCTCCGACGGCTGTGGCAGCCCCTCAGCTCCCCCCAGACAGAGGTGGACAGCTTGGAGGTGAAAAGGCAGCAAACAGGAGACCCCTCATCCATTCTCACCGCCTCGCCCACCTAACCAGAGGCGAGGAAGCGCACACACAGTCCAGCCCACACGTCAGAAGCTTTGCCCTGTACCTCGGCCCCAAACTCACGCAACCCCATGCTTGAGGCCGAGACAAAACGCAGAGTGCCCCTCCAATGGGAGTAGTGTGGGACTGCCAGAAAGGGCGGGGGACGCCTGGAAGGAGGGGGAAGGAAACAGGAGGAAAAGAAAAGGGTGGTTCATAAAACCCTGCTGTTTCAGGTCAAGCCCCCAGGCAGGCCTTTCCACAAGTTCATCCTCCTCCTCCATAGCCTGACTTCTAAGGGCTTTGAGAAGGGCCTAGAAGGAAAAGTGTAACTCCTTTCCTGCACTTGGCTCTCTAGAAGCCCTCTCTTCATCTCGCCGCCCTGAGACCACACAGCCTGGCCTCTGGGCCTCGCCCATGATGTACATGTCCCCCTCCTCCCTGCTCCTCTCCCTGAGCTTCTTGGCACCCAGGACCCTGCCTCTCTCCTGGCTTTTGTTTCTAGGTCCATATGTTTGTTGCGTCTGCTCACCCGGTCTGTCTCTCAACCTGTCTCACTCCCCAGTCCCGTGCACCAGAAACACCTGCAGAGTCTTGGTGAAGGGCCTCTATCCAGAGCATGAGAAGGAACCCAATAGGCCACTGAGCCAGCATGGGTCACCATCATTCCCCTGGTTCTCTTCCATGACATTCCCCGATGCTATTATTCCCTAGAAATCCTAAAGAAGGTCATTGGGGGTGATTAAGACAAAGAGGAAAAAAAGCAAGCAAAGTCCTCGTGCATCCTGTTCCAGGGAGGGCCTCGTGTGGCAGGCCGAGCTTCTCAGTGACCTGCAGGCTCAGCCCGGTGTTCATCAGCAGAGCCTGGCTCAGCTGCAGTGTCAATGGGAGACTGGAGAATTACATCAGGGAAGACGAATGTGTCCCCTGTGAGCAGGATGGAGGTCAGCAAGTCACTTCGTCCAGCTTTAAATCTCTGAGGTGTGACATCTTGGTGGACATGGAGATCTCCTTTATTTTCTTTTTGATGGCAACTCTGGACATATTGCAGCCCGGGTCGCTGTATATATTCAGGCCCTGACAGCCCTGCAGAAGGCCTTTCCCCGCACAATGGGGGCATTCTCCGTGGCAGCCTGCACCCGAGGCTGGGACAGATCTGCCATTCAGGCCCCAACAAGAAGGCCCTCCCACCACAGCCGGGAAAAGGGCCCGCTTGTCTGCCCCAAAGGTTTGGGAAGAAGGAAGGGTCCCGCCCTCACCTCCGTGCTGCGCGGGCGGGAGGTTGTTGAGGTGAAGGATCGGCTTCAGAAGCTGGCACTGGCTTTGTGAAAGGCTGGACAAGGACCTCATCATCTCTTCCCCGACGGTCTCTCCTGAAGACGAGATAGAGGAGATGTTAAGTCCTGTGCCCCACACACGAAACCAAGCCAGCGATTCTCTTGCAAACATAATGTGATTGTCCATACAATGACTCGGCAGAGCATCTACTGCACTGAAAGTACTGGAACACGATCTTCTACCCCGCACCCTTGAACTGTGGTCTTTCTTTCTCCTCTTTCCCTCCCCTCCACACCTGGATCCAGAGCTAGTGCTTTCTACCCAGGGGAAGTTCATCCCCCACCTTCACTGCTTGTGGAAACCTCTTTTTTTTTTTTTTTTTAATTTATTTGACAGAGAGAGAGCGCACACATGTGCGTGCACGCAAGCAGGGGGAGCAGCAGAGGGAGAAGCAGACTTCCCACCGAGCAAGGAGCCCAATGCAGGACTCGATCCCAGGACCCTGGGATCATGACCAGAGCCAAAGGCAGACACTAACCTACTGAGCCACCCAGGCACCCTTTGTGGAAACCTCTTATTCTCTTGCCCACGCTGTAACCTCTGCCTGGAATGCCCTCCCTTCCCTCCCTGCCCTTTTGTCCAAGAAGAAATTCTCACTTCCAAGCTGAGCTTCTCAGACCTCCAGTCCCGGGCTCGCTGACCACTCCCTGCCCCCACGGTGTAAGTCCCTCTCCTAACGGGCTATTTTTTTTTTGCCATTCCTTGTTTACCTGTGTCCTCCCAGGGGTGGTTTATTTTCGTTCATCTTTACTGTCTTCATCTCTATGCCCCAGTCAGCACAATAAGCGTTTTATTTTTTTTTTTGAAGATTTTTTTTATTTATTTGAGAGAGAGCACAAGCAGTGTGGAGGGCTTCATCCAACATCTTTTCCCTCCTTCCCTTCTGTTGGCACACTGTCACAGAACTGGGGGCACATTTCGCAGCCCACAGAGTTTCAGCAGGTGGGAAAGGAAAGCAGCTTGGCGAAAGAATGACTTGAAATGGGAGGATCCTTATAAAGGCTTCGGTTGGTCCGTCTGCACTCCCAGCCCAAGGGTAGCTGTCTCTTCTTCCCAGTGATCCCTCGGTCTGTGGGACCTGGCCACCCCTCAACCATTGCTCGTGGCGGAAAGAGATTCCTACAAGGTGGAAGATCCTAAATGTATCCACAAGGAAGACAAAACAAGCCAAACCTGGACCTGACTGACCCCTAAGTCCTTTACTGTTTCCATCTACCTCTTTCTGCCTCCTTGGTTAGAAAGGCGAGAGGCGTTATAAAGAGTTACCAGGTTAAAAAAAAAAAAAAAATGTCATCTGGAGTGACATGGCTCAGGGTTCAAATCTCAGCTCCACTGTTCCCTAGCTGTGTCACTGTGAGCAAGCTCCTTGCCTTGCTAAACCTCGGTTTCTTCATCTGTAAAATGGAAATGAAAATATGCAGCTCAGAAGGCTAATAGGCGACATAAGACAATGTCTATGAAACATCTGACATGTTTCCTGAGAAAGAAAAACTCAGGAAATGCTACTCCCTTCACTTTAATCCCAGTTCCCAAAGTGTAGGTGTTACACATGTAAAATAGATTTCGTACTCAAATAAGTTTGTGAAGTGCTTGGTGAAACAAATTAACACTCTTTTCTTCTCTGCGGGACTTCTCAGATCCTTTAACCTGCCAACATGAGCTGTGAATTTCCAAGAGGCACTGTAGTCTGCAGGCTTCCCTGGGCCCCTGTGACCACAAAGCCCTCTTCCTGGAACATCACTCCTAGGCTTGCTATTTAGGAAACAATACTTTAAAGAAAATACAGCAATTAAAGGTCACACGGTACAGATTACACCTTCTTCTGGAATCTGTAAATGGCCTCCATTTCCCTTCAGGGAAGCCATCACCAAAGAAGAGAACCCAAACTAGGCTTTCTTCCCCCACACTGCTGCATAAAATGACTGTTCCTAACTTTTTCCTAGACGCGGTACCCACTGTCTCAGCCTTCACTACTCATGTCTCTGCTGATGTTCCTAGCACTTACGTCTCAGGAAGGAATTGGGGCCAAAAGGGAAAGGAGAGGGGTGAACGGTTAAGCATATTTTTCAGGTTTTTGTCTCATTTTATGCCTTACATACCAATTTACTCTTCATAGAGATTTTTGAGCCCATTTGTAGCTGCAGAGAAATTTCCAGGCCATTTCTCCACTTCACACACCTCTGTAGAGGCAGCAGGGGAAGGACTCCCATGGCCACCTGGCAGAGTTAGAAACAGCCACCGAGAGCAGTTCAGCCAGAGAGCAAACCACCCTGCGAAGAGGGCACGGCCTCCCCAAGGCCATAGGGGAGCCCGAAAAGCGTATTCTGTGATCACAATCGCTTCCACGCACCAGCGATAGACGCTGGCATGTTGCGAAACCAGCCGGTACTGCTCAAAAGTGGATTTCATTTTGCAGAGACAGGGAATTAATATGCACGCTCAGTCTTTCCACGCTGTCTTTCAGGTATGGAGCCACTCTAGACACTTCGGTCCAATAAAGCTCTGCCTAGAGACCTGCCTGATAGCTTTACACTTTAGTTTATGGATTAGATTCAAGGACAGTTTATCCCGTCATGCAGATGAGAATGTCACACGGCTCACCTTCACCGCTGTCCCCTGAATCTGGTGGCACACTTAATCCCGCCAAGTCAAACGCAAAGTACAGTCGTATCAGCTGGGGGGACATAGATGAATTGGAGAAAAGAGCTTTGAAAATAAGGATTAATGCTACCAAGTTTCAGTCTCAAAATCCTCATCCCCCCACACTCCACCCCCAGCTGCGTTCCTCCAAGCTTAGTAATATCCCCACGTGTAGGGCAATGCCTGGCTCCAGGGAAGCACACACTCATCTCTGCAGAATGAAGACCCATCTGTTGAGCACTTAGGCTGAGAAGCCCCGTGTGGGGATCTCATCCTCATGCTAGCTTGGCAAAATAGACAACTCTTCCCATTTAACAGATGGTAACACCAAGACTCACAAAGGTTCAGGACGCCTGGATGGCTCAGTTGGTTAAGCGTCTGCCTTCCGCTCAGGTCATGATCCCAGGGTTCTGGGATCGAGCCCCGCATTGGGCTCCCTGCTCAGCAGGGAGCCTGCTTCTCCCTCTCCCTCTGCCGCTGCCCCCTGCCTGTGTTCTCCTGCTCTCTCTCTGTCAAATAAATAAATAAAATCTTAAAAAAAAAAAAAAAAAGACTCACAAAGGTTCAAAACATACCCAGGGAGGCTCTCACAGCATCTAAATCACAGACAAGGCTAGCGATGATGAAGGGAATGGACCGCCAAACTCCCTACATCTGAAATGCAGGGAGTCCGCCTCCCTCATTGTTGGGCTGCCATTTCAGAGTCTTTGAATATCATTGAAAATGGGAAATGTCGTACTGGTTCCTGTTGTTCTCTCCCAACAATAATTACTCTCCTGCATCTAGGGCTTTCTCTTTTCCAGGAATTATTCTACATAATTTATTTATGTTACCTACCTCATCCTCACGACAACCCAGTCGACCAGGTCTGAGTCTTGTCCCCCATTTTACAGAGAAGGAAACCAAGGTCCCTCAAGGTCAAATGCCTTTTCAAAAGTTTAAGAGCCAGAATTCAAATCCAGACAAGACGGGCTGGCTGCAGAGCCCACACAAACTCTAAGCCGTCAGTTTTTACCACCTGCCCTGCTGTGCTTTCCCAAAAGGTGGACTTTTTCCCCATTAGACTGATAGTTCCTCCAGTGTGGTAACCAAATTCCATTCATCTTGTATATATATGTGTGGGTATAAACACACACACACACACACACACACATACCCTAAGCACTATGCATGGCACATAAAAAGTACTTAATAAATTTTTAATTTCTTCCATCAATTAACCCCACTCATTTTGCTCTTGTAATGTCTCATCTTATAGGTGAGAAGTTATGTATTATTTTGGTCCCATTGTATAGGAAAGAGGTTACCTCATCTCTGCAAAGAGCTTCCAGAACTCATTAAAAAATAAAAAGCATGTTCACTTGGAAAAAGATGTCAGAAGTTGTATCTGAGAAGAAGATCTTCTGAACCCAACACTTCAAACCCTCAGGAGGAAGTCTGGGGAAAAAATTGGGGAAATCTATTTAAGACCATCTCCCCAATGATCACCCACAAACTGCCTGCTGAAAGCCCAAGTCTAGGGAGATTCTCTCTTGCGAGGTTTTGACAAGAACTTCTTTCAATCCTAATGCCACTAGAACCACCTGGGAAACATTAAAAATACACGATGCCCAGGCCCCATTCCTGACACTGATCCTGTCGGTCCAGGGAGGGCTCCAGCTCATCAGCATCTTTTCAAAGCTCCCAGGTGGTTCTAACACATAACCAGACCTGAGCCCCAATAAACTGCCCTCAAATCAGGAAGGATTTGTCAGTAGAGAGACTAAAAGAACATTCCCAATCCACAGCCCAAAAGACTGAGCCTCACCTGGGAATGGGGTGTCGTGTTCTTATTAAGGCTCTCAGAGCGCCTTCACAAACAGAAGGTGTATTGGTGGGTGGCTGATGTCTGAGCCCTGAGAAGGCAGAGAGGTAAGTCCATGGCAGAGAGAAGCAGCCGCAGGTGAAGACCCCCCAGAAAATCACAGTTCACCAGCTGAGAGGTCATCCTGGCAGTCACCGGCCGCCCCATGGAAAGGGCTTCTGCTCCCAGTCCCTCTCTAGAGCACCTGGGAACAGCCCACAGCGGGAAGCGCAGGGCACACTCACAAGACAGCAACAATGTCTGCATCATCCATCACTGGACACCCAGTGCCTCCCTGGCACGTTATAGGCTCTCGACGAACATTTGTCATTCGAGTAAAGACACTGGAAAGCCTACAGGCAAAGATGGTCATTGTAAAGCCAATAGGAGGAGAATAACTCAGATGCTGAGGCCGTGGATACTCTGAAAGCACTTGTACTTGTTTCAAACAGCAAGCATTTCATGAGAGCAACCAAGAGCTAACCGAGCTATGCATTTTACTCATGCGGACCAGGACTGTATAAAATGGTTTTAGGCGCAACCCAACCTAAGCTTCAGAGTAACCCTAAAAAGCAGAAACTGGTATTAATTTGAATTTTACAGATAAGGAGACTGCAGTTTATAGAGCAATTCGGCCAAGGTCAAACAGCAAGTAAATGATACGGCTGCTTGATACAGAGTCT